TATTCGCAAAATTACTCCAAGAATTAATTATCAACGTAATATTTAAAAACAAATAGTGAAATTCTCAAATGGAAGTTACATTAGCTGAAATAAGACAAAAAGTATCATGAAAAAGTCATTTTTCATTTTACGAAACTGATAAATTCAAATTTGACTCTTTTCATAATAATAATCCCAGTGTTTTTGTGTGTCGACACAAGGATCAACTTATAATTTATGTTTTGGTTTCTTTAATTAGGTAAAACTTTCTATAATAAAAAGACTATTGGTTAATTTGAATTTGTTAACTAGACAAAAGTTATATGACAACAATCTTTAATACAAATTGCTTCTAGGATCTGCAGCTATTATTTTCTTGGGGTAGGATAGTTGTGTTGTCGATCAGTAATATATATATATATATATATATATTCCTCATTTTCATTAAATATCAAATTACAGTTAAATTGATAAAAAGTAGACACCCGTAAAAGAGCGTCTACCTGATTCTCGGGCAAATTTACTCACGTTTCAGGCATTTCTTGCATGGTGGCGGGTATCAGCACTTCTGTTAAAACCTGTTAAACCAACAAGAAAATAAAGAGTATATAGTAGAGAAAACAAAAAAGTAAGATTTAATTTTTAATTAAATCGATAGAAAAAATGTATTTATATCAGATTTAATATTTATTAAGTGAATCTTAAATGAACCCAGAAGAGAAAGGAGAACAGGAAGCCTGTGTTACGCTAATATTTCAAGTGTAGAAGTTCTGCATGCCTTGAAAAAGTATCATTCAAAATCATGGCTTTCACTCGGCATCGAACATTGGCGTTTGGGGGAAGTTTATAGCTATATCAAACCCTACTGTATATATTTTGTTTTAAATGCAGAACAAATGGATCAGGTGTTTGAGTTGAAGACTAAAACAGCGGTTTTGAATCCCGAATTACTATTAGAGTTAGTTAAATTAAAAGTCTCTTCATAACACACACAGATGAAACATATTTAATATTTTATCTAATAATAGTTTTCATGGAAAAAATATTGCACATACATACTTATCGAATGTACGCATTACGATATAATCCTAATCATTTTATTTTATATTCTTTCATACTGAGAGAACAATTTAAAATATTTCATGGTCTCAATTATTATTTTATTTCATCTTATTTTTTGTCACTTTTTCCTTATAACACATCGAAATACTCTTCAATTATAAGAGCATATAGCACCAGCGGTTTCAAAAAACAAAACAAAAAAAAACAAAACAAAACAAACAAACAAAAGAAAACAAAATAAACTGATAACTTGACTTTCTGTGTAGCAAAAGAAAGTTGACACCGAAAATCAGAGTGGTAGAAGAATGACTATAGATTTTAATTCTCATTTATTACCGCGGTTTATACGGCTGAAGTGGTTAAGAAAAAATGTATTTATGTGAAAGACGTGTTTCTTTGGCTGAAGTTGTTAAGGCGACGTATGTAAAAGACGGGGTTCTGTAGTTGGAGTGATTAAGGCGCCATATGTGAAAAACTGGGTTCTGTAGCTGAAGTGATTAAGGCGCCATATGTGAAAAACTGGGTTCTGTGGCTGAAGTGGTTAAGACAGTGTTTCTTAACCGGTACGCCCTGAAAGATAATAAGGTGCCTCCCAAGTTAACAGAAGAATAATTTATTATTTTATATCTAAAAATCTTTATTTTTATAAAGCTTGAGACACAAGTATATGGATTCCATGTCTAAGTGTTTGTCATTTGATATTTTAAACTAGATGCGAGATTCTTTAATTTTTAAGGATTGAATAATCCTTTCCCTTTTGCTTTCCTCAACGGATTAAAATCAGTCATCATCGGTCTCTTCAAAAACAAAAATAGTAGATTCTTCATCAATCCCATTAAATGTAAACTGTACCGCTTAAATATACGATGTAATGTCATAAAAGGAATTTAAAGTGTGCCCCCCCCCCCCCAGTTTTAGTTATTCTACAAGCGCACCCTGAATTAAAAATGGGCGAGAAACACTGGGTTATGGCGACGTATGTGAAAGACTGGGTTCCGATGCGTGGGATATACATTTATGTTTCAGTTGAAGCTGTTTATTTATTTCTGATTTCGTCGAGTGTATCGACCCAAAGTGTCAAAATAAAACGCAATAATAATGGTGTAAAACTAGTAATAAATTTTGAAGAAAGCTTCATCAAAATTTAAAATGTCGGTAGAAATTCAGTAGAATCACCAAGTCAATGTTTGATGAATTATGAAAAGCGAATGGTTTATTTCCGATTTCTCTATGCAGAGTAGCGGAGATAGTGATACACGTCTTTCGATACATGACTGACAAGGCAGATTTATTCCCGCAGTAGGTTGCCATTTCTTTCTGGTAGACCAGTTTCCATCCAAGTCTATAGAACCCGGTCTGTTCTGCTATTTATCCATAGTTGGGGGAAAAAGAGGATTTATACCTTTCTCAAGGCTGTTAGCACGTAAGTGAATGTAATAGATTCGACTGGAATTCGAACTCGGCTCTCCGATTCCTCAATCCGAGCCGCTATCCATTAGTCCACCTTCACGGCACGATTAGATCTACATATCTATAAATCAGTTTGTTGTATCCAACAGCTAACAATCCATAGTCGTCATATTGTCTTTTTTTTGTTCGCTCCCTAGCACTTTACTCGTTATTAATTATATCAACTGAACGAAGGCATCTCGTAACTAAAGACAATATTCATCGGTGTTTTTCGCCAATTTCTTTCGACATTTTTCCTACAATTTGTAAATATTTTTCATTTTGTCTCGAGTAGAATATACATATATACTTTCGAGTGTAATTGTATCAATATGATGTTTTGGGGCGCGGACGATTTTATGAAATTTTTGTTTGCATTAGATAGTCACTTTCGTAACTGACACTGTTCGGTGTAAATCGAGATGACGGCGTGTTTGTATTTACGCGTAGTGGTCACTTTATGTGCGATAGTTTATGAAGAAACGCCTGAAGGGGGAAAAATAGAAATACGTATTCTGACAAAAAGGGAGGCGAGGTAAAAATAGAATGTAATATACAGTAACCCACTATCTGTAGGAGATACGTTTAAATCACTTCAGTGGATTCCTGAATCAGCGGATAATAGTAAACTATATATATATATATATATATATATATATATATATATATATATATATATATATGTATGTATATAATCGTTTCACCCCAAGCAAGGCGATAATGCCACTAGAACACGAGAGGGTGTTACAGGAAGTGAAAGAGAATGAGAAAACTGAGAATGGGGAGGATTGAGGAAAGAACAAAAATGAAGCAGGGTTCAAGAAGACAGATATGGATTGCATTTACATTTCGAAGATTGTTGTTACAGTAGTGTTATATAGTTATATATAATATATATATAATATTATATAGTTATATAGTGTAGTTGCATTTATATTTTTGAAGATTGTAGTTATCAGGGAAGCAAGAAATCGGAAGGCAGTTCTACCGGTCGGAAGTGCAAGAAAAGAAACTATTAGAATAAAAGTGGTGGTTGCATCTAGGTAGTAATACACTTAAATTTATGTAGTCAGACCAAAAAAAGCTCGTAAGAACAGCTCCCATGAAAATATTTGTAGAAAAGACAGAGGGAAGCAACGTCACGTTGGTGAGAAACGTTAGTTCAAGAAGATGCATTCATTGACCGAACAGTTAACGTAACTGTTGATTGAAATTTCTTAAAACAGTTTTTCAGGAAAATATACTCCCCAAGCCAGTATCGCTCTCTTATTGATGTTAGTTTCCTTCCTAACCTTTTGTTTAAGGTAGTGCGGAAAGTCAACATTTTTCTTTCAGATTATGTCATTATTTTCCTTTCTAATTACATGTGACACACATTAGTTGTTGCTGGAAGTTTTCAAGTGATGTGGGTTTTTGCAATTTAGTAAAGAGCGTTGTTTGTGATTTTGTAGCGCCAGTCCAGTGTTTGATGAAAGGTTTTCTATAAAACCTAGAGGATTCAATCACTTGAAGACATTTTAATCATTGATCTGAGAAAACAGTTGTATACTGATGCAAGGCTGTTTGAGAAGAGTGTAATGTTAATCTGAGATATGTTATTTGGAGGATGTTGTTTGCTTTGTTGGGCTAAACATTTCGATCCCAAAATCATATGCCGGAGACGCTAGAAATATGTTAATTTTCCCTTCAGCTAACATCCTTATGAATACTATCAGTAAAATGTATTTAATTCAAACACACACGCACACACACATATATATTATATATAAAATGCATTTGTACATTTGGGCAGTAATCCCTCTTTAATACAGGTTTCGTTGAACAAGAGTGGCAAGGTACTTTTTATTTTTTTTTTATTAAGTTTATTGTATACGTGCAAGTGTCTCCTTTTCTGAACTAAGTGAATGTAAAATTTGTCCAAAGGTTTGATGGTTCCGAGCGCTTTTGGCTCAGCCATTAGCCAGTTGCGATGATTGTTGACCAAATACAAAACTATAAAATTACATGATCCGACAGCTAACAAGGAAACCAACACAACATTGCGGAAAAATAGTTTTAAGACAAATATCTGCTGCTATAAAAACATTTAAAACAGCCAAATTGAAAAATGTACCATCTACAATAACTTACCCACCATTTATTATGATAATATTAACAAAATCCTTGAAAATGGCTAAAAGTTTAACCAAAAGTGCTTTTGGACAAATTTTATATTCACGAAATCCAGAAAAGATGCTTGTAAATATTCAATTGATGGATTCGTTTTCTACGGCTTATCAACCCTTTGCAGATTATTTATAGCCAGAAATGTTTAGATTGTAAGAATTTTTTTTACAATACTTGTTGAGGGATACAAGACTTACTAATTAACCCAAAAGTGGAGGTGGATTCATACCTTTCCCAAGGGTATTTGCGCGTAAGTGAATATGACGAACCCAACTGGAATTGGAACTTGGCTTTTCGATTAACAATTCCGAGCCATTATCTATTACACCACCCGCGCATCCAAGCTTACAGCACCTGGCATTCTCAAGCGGTCATCCATCGAAATACTGACCAGGTTCAACGTTGCTTAACTTCGGTGATCTTACGGGAATCGGTGAAAGTAGAATTAAAAAATACTAAACAAAAGTAACTTGTCAGTCTTGTTTAACGAAATTATATATCAAGTATTTACAACTATTCAAATGTACGGACTACTTCAGATAGAACAGAGATTTCAAAATAGATTGGTCCGGCTCAAAAAGTTTAAAATAATGTCCTTTTTTTGTTTTTGATTTGAGTTCGATTCCCAAATTAATAGAGGCTCAAAATACAGATAAGTAGTATTTAAGTTTGTCTCATTTTCTCTTACCTTATAAAGTATTGAATCACAGATGCAAATGATGTCCACAATCACCTGGTTTTTCACCAACGGCAGCAGATGTTCTGGCAGGCCTTGCCAAAAATGCAGTAGGAAATTCTGAATCTGGAATAAAAACAAATTTTAAAATCACCTGACATTCAACAACAAATCCCAGACTCGTTGTTCACAGATTAACAGATCATCTATTCGATACAACTGAGAATCCAGATATTATTCTAACTTACAGAATTTCACATGTTTTTTGTACCATCGTAACAACCTACTGTTCATATTTTGGCTGTACTCTTAGCACCATTAACTATAAGCGCTAACACAAAAACACAAGTAAATGATTCATCTTTCTTTACCCCGGCGATTCCCTTAACATTAATAGGAGTGGAGAGATTCGCCTATCTTCCGGTTCGCATTCCTCGTTTTTTTTTAACAAAATTAGGGGTTTATCCCTTGTTTTCTGGAATCTTTTTTTTAATTCATCCCCAAATAAAAATAATGTATATTTACTAAAATTCACACAAAAATTTAGAAATGTTCTTTAAATTCTGTTAAAAAAATACATTCATTGTTATTTTTTGCCTTACGTCTCCAAAGAAACTTACACAAATAAGAGTCTATCATGCTGCGATGAGTCTTGAACATGGACTTATTCTTCATTTTAGCATTCTGACAGATACTTTCGATTGTGCGTGAGCTGATATTTCTAGGTTAAGGAAATTCATACTGTGATTTACAGTCAGATGAATATAATTGGGATTACCCTTCAAAGATTCACAATCTTTCCAACAATCTGACATAATCGTAGTCTCAGGCAAAATACAGTTTCGGATTGTGTCCTATAATGTGGAGTATGTTCTATACCCCAGGAACTTCATGGCAAGCTAAAAAAATTGATTTAAAATTTATAATTTCTTGGAGTAAATATTTGTGGTAAGTAACTTGACATTATTTGCGGTAAATTAACAGAAAAGATCGGTTTCTGTTGAGGATTTGATTTCCGGTTCCTTCTAAAATCTTCATTCTCTTTCATTTTAGTTGCCCCCTTGCGTCTTAGTGGAATTATTGCTTTGCTTGAGGGTGAATTGATTATAAACAAAAACTTACTTTCACTTAGGCCTTCATCTATAGCTCCCCTGAATAAAGTAACTACTGTATTTTGACGGAAAACAAGACACTTTCAAAAATCGCCATATATCATATGTGAAAAGACAATGCTCCCAGCGGGCTAATTTTATCCCGGATGCCATAATTTCACCAAATACCGTCACTTCGACTTAACCCTATTGCATAATAACATTATTTACTCAAGCAATATCTCTTTTTATTACCATCATCACAATTACCACTATAAAAGAAATTATCGTAACGAAATACCGACGATGTTCAGCATATCCATCATAAGTTAATATGTCTCAACACACTTATAAAGCAGCTGATTTGATATGCACAACGTTTTGAACTTTTTAAATAATGTACTTTTGTGGTCCGGTGAATATACCTAAATTTCTAATTTGGCCCAGTAGGAAAAACGTTTGGACAACCCTGAGTATCACCCCATGAAAGGCAGTAGAGCTACTAAGCCACATTATTGTGATTTCTGGCTTTATGTTCACCCGTACTACTAAAGCTCTTGCTTTTTATATACAGTAATGTTTTCTGTTACAGCTGAAGTAATTTTTATGTTACAATATAGTTCGCTTTAAACATTACTTGCTTAAATACTCTAAAAACATTTTCCTAAATATACACGTTTCAAATGGGGAATCTTTTATGTTTTTAAGGTGGAGCTTCTGGTGTAGAGCGCAAATTATTCCTAATAAACAGAGATAAGTAGATAGATTGGTAAATAGGTCTCTATGAGAAAACAATCAGGGCGTTCAGAATGTAATCTTGGAAACAGAATAAATACGCGTATAAATGCAACAAACAGTATGTTTATTTGTAAAGAATATTAGCATTTTTTTCTTTAATCAGTTCACCTCAAGCAAGGCGATAAAGCCACTAAAACGCAAGAGAAAGAAAACTGAAAAATAAGTTGAGAGAGATGCCAGGATTTAAGGAGACAGTAGATGACAATTGACATTGCACTTACATTTTTGAAGGTCGTAGTTGACAGGAAAGCAAACAACCGAAAGAGAATCACAAATAAGTTCGAGAAAAGAAACCATTAGCATAGAACTTACGTTTACACTTAGCAAGTTCAACTATAAAATGATGAGACCTAGCTACCAATCTAATACTACGCTTAAATTCACGAAGTCGAGGTACGGAAGAGGAAAGCTCACTAGAACAATTGTCATGAAAATATTTATAGAAAAGGCAGAGGGAAGCTACGTTACGATGCTAGGAAAGCGACCGAAGTTGAGATGCCAGATCAGGACCAATAACATTGCAGATTCTTTGGAATCTCAGAATACATAGAGGCAGACGTGGCAACAATATTTGATGCACGGATGAATGGTAGACCTATAATTTTTACCAATGACAAAAGCCTATACCACAAGTTATATTTTATTCGTTGCTAGTGATTCTGAGATTCGAGAGAAAAATTTACATGAATTTCTAATTTCTCCCCTCGACAATCTAAAAGTGAGAAATCGCTTTTTGCATTTTACGAGCTCTAACTTCAGCAGATGCTATCTACTAAAGTTAGCTTAATTTTTCACACGATTAAAAAAATCATGTGGGAAATTAAGCTAACTTTAGTTGATAGCAGACGATTCTAAATCATTCAAAGCCGATACGTATTCAGAATGGGAATGATCATAGCGGAAAAACAAACCTTTTTCGTGTTCAGCACAATGGCTAGAGAAAGATTGAAAGAGATATCAATGTCATAGGCTGGGGAGTTGTGTTGATTCGGCGGTGTGTGCTGATAGTGGAAAGAAAAAAAATCAGTAATTCGAATGAGTTTGATTCCTTTAAGGTTGAAAGATAAGACATCTTGAGTACTTCCTACTGTATTGATAACAAAAACAAGCGATTGATTGATACAAAAGGTGTTTTTTTCTTTACACGACTACAAGAGGCACGAGTTTTAAATATATCAACGATTGAAGGAAGAATTAGCCCGAGTACTGGATTATATATCTACCTGATCTTACATATATACAATATATGTATGTGTGATTGTATGTATGAGAGAGCAAATTTGGAAGTAAATCGTAGTGAAAAAAGAAAGTGTGTATAAGACTTGAGATTTATTAGAAAAAGAGCAAGAGAACGAAAAAGAGAGAGAAGGACTTTCGGGGAACGCGAGAGAGGAGGGACACTTCCGGGGAACTCGAGAGAGAGAGAGAGAGAGAGAGAGAGAGAGAGAGAGAGAACGAGAGACAGGTAGACTTTGGGAGAAGGAGTGAGAGTGAGTACACCATAAAGTGAAAAAATAGTCACGGTAATTGTTCTGATGAGCTTTCCTTTTTTTTTGTACACCGACGAATTTAAGCGAAGTACTAGATTGACAACTCGGTTTCATACTTTCACTGTTGAAATTTCTAGTTGTAACCGTAAGTTCTATGCTAATATCATCTTCTGCAGTTCTCACCTGTGGATCTCCTCTTTCGGTTTCTTTGTCAAATAAGATTTTCAAAAATTTAGATGCAATGTTTATCGTCATCTTCTGTTTCTTTGAATCCTGTTTTTATTGTCTTCTCTACTTCTTATTTAAAGGAAAGGCACAAGGAAGCTACATTACGGCGATGGGAAAATGACTGAAGCAGAGATGCTATGTCACGACCGATAAGGTTTCAAATTCTTCTTTGGATTTTGTCAAGAATCTCTTGACACCAGCTCAGGTGTGGCAGATATATTCGAAGTATGGTCGAATAGTAAACTTAGATTTGGGCGCCGATTATCATTCCGCATATCCCTGGACCCCGTCATCAATTTGCCTCATACTGTATATATTGATGCAGGTCTGTCTTGGAGCAGTACTTGTTTTCCGTCCTCCTAGCAACCTGGTGACATGATTCCAAAGGAATCTCACTGATCTTCAGACTAGTGGTCCATCATACATATCTATAAGTGCACCATTCGTCTATGTTTAGAATATTGCTCCTTGATAAAGCCCAAAGAAGACTCCACAATATTATCGGTCCTGATCTGGCGATTCGGCTTCAGTCACTTTCCCACTGCCGTAGGGTTGTCTCTGTGTATATTCTACGAATAATTTCATGGTAATAATTTGGATGAACTCTTCGCTCTGGTACGTATATTTTTTTAATTTAAGCGCAGTACTAGACTAGCATCGAGATCTCATCAATTTACAGTTGATTTGGCTAGATGCAGCAGTAAATTCTATAATAACAGTCTCTTTTCTCACACTTCTTGCGTGTGGAACTCTTCCGGTTCCATGCTTTCCAGCCAACTTTAATCAGCAAAAATGTAAATGCAATGTCACTCGCTATCTACTGCTTTCCTGATTAATCTTTACTCTTTCCACTTATTAATGTTTCTTTTCCTAATTCTTTTACACCCAGTAATTCTTTGTGTCTTAGCGGCTTTACAAAAAAAAGAAAAGAAAAAGTTCTCACATTTCTATCATGCGGCTTCGGTTTACTCATGACAGAAGGTGCTCATATACTTTTATTGGACTCAGTCATCAATTTTTTCATAGTGTATATATATATATATATATATATATATACTGTCAACTCGTTGAACGAGCATGACTACCGCTGACAGGTTAACTTATACCTGATTTCTCTTACAGTGACTTGTGAATCCAACGAGAGACTCCCAAAG